GACCTATTTCCAGTAAAGAAAACACTAAAAGGATGTAAAACACTGGCAGTAGTTGCTTTTGGTATCAACAAAGAGGTTGCCTTGATGTAATATTCTTGTACTAACTAGTAGATGAAACCTTTACTTCCTATACCTCTACAGCTATTTAATGCAGAGATTGCGATCAAATGCGGAACCATGCAGATGTACAATGCAGATACACAAACACAACGTCAGCAGGTTTGCACCAGACTGCTGCCAAATAAATGTGTGATCGTCTTTGGGTAGCGCTACAGACTGCATGGCAACACAAGGCCATGCATAAGAATGCCTGAATGGTACATGTAAATTTTAAAGATGTATACAGTCATTGATACAATAACAGCCTGCAAATGCATAAGTATTGCATTCCAGAACATAAATCATTTATTGATGTAAAATCACAGCATCATGTTAATACTGAAATGGTAATTAATGCATTATAACATTGGAATTATTAGGGAGGAGCGCTATTGCCAGTTGGCTTGGATTTCGTTGTCACAATCGTTGTTGGGTTTAGGTGTTTGAGGCTTTGACGTGGAGTTTCGTTTTGTTATGTGTGTAATATGATCATAATTTACTAATTGCGTATACATGTGCAAATTTACCCAATATAGGTTGTCATAACCTGGAGTATTACTGTATTTCTTAAGATGCTGTACACACATTTTTACAATTGGCGATTGATTTAAGTTAGAGCGTGCTGGATACACATCATCCTAGGGTACTGCAGTAAGATGTCAACCAGTAGGAGTCCCACTATAATTTACCAAAATTGCCGAACATGGGTCAAATCACTTCCGCTCAATTTCTGCTGGGCCCCATGATTGCAGGTGTCAAGTAATTTTCAACTTTACACTGGAGCAGATAGCCTATCTATATACATACATACATACATGCATGTACATACATATGTACATGTGTGTGTATTGTGTGTGTGGCGTGTGTGTGTGTGGTGGTGCGTGCGTGCGTGGCGTGCGTGCGGTGCGTGCGTGCGTGCGTGCGTACGTGCGTGCGTGTGTGTGTCAACTGTGTGTGTGTGTGTGTGTGTGTGTGTGTGTGTTGTGTGTGTGTGTGTGTGTGTGTGTGTGTTGTGTGTGTGTGTGTGTGTGTGTTGTGTGTGTGTGTGTGGTGTGTGTCACTGTGTGTGTGTGTGTGTGTGTGTGTGTGTTGTGTGTGTGTGTGTGTGTGTGTGTGTGGTGTGTGTGTGCTGTGTGTGTGTGTGTGTGTGTGTGTGTATGCGTGGCGTGTGCATGCGTGCGTGCTTGCATGCATGCACCCATGCATAAAATACCAGTGAATATTAGAACGGTCAATAAAATATGAGAAGTAATCAGTGCAAGGGTAGAGTCAAATCATGTGGTGAAGATGTAAAATTCTCAGTTATAGCTACAGTATGATGATAATCTCAGTAATCGAGAGTAAATTACTGCTTAATGCAGCACAGCACTGATTTTCCTTGCATAATGATGGAAGCAGTGTTAGATTGTGAACTTTTTCAAGCAGGTGGCGCTACTGATCTATATATGCAGTGCGCATTAGATTGTTGCGTAAATTGCTGACGTGGTTGGTTTTCTTACTTTAAAACGAACTCATGGGCAATATTATGGCATAATTAGGAACTGTGGAACAACCTTTACACGTATGCACTAGGGAGTGCGTATATGAGGGACAGAGGGAGATGATGCAATAAATAAGTGGAATTTTTTATATAATTAATTGCAGAAAAATTAGGACAGACACATGTAATTTTAAAATGATGGGTTAACCAGTAGTTCCAGTGTGGTACAGTTATCTTTACATACTTTCTAGAATTTTTGATACCAATGTATCGTGTTTAGTTAAATCACTGTTTATGTGTGCATTGTGCAATCAATTAACTGTAATTCACAAAACTTTTCAACATTCATATTGTAACCATTCACAAATATTAACATTTTTAAACGCATACAAGCCGTGCACTTTTTCATGACTCCCCCACACCTATAATTGGTGTACAAAACTTACGATATTCCAGGTTTGGAGGAAGGTATGAAAGTCGAAACCACATAATTTATTTAGGTTTTGTATAATGACATTTGACTACTCCCCCACCCCACTGTCCTAAAACTTAGAGTTTGTACTATGTTAGTGATGCTGTGATGGTGTAGTGGTCTAAAAAGCTAGATCAACCAGCTGTTCAACCTGCTCAGACTGCACTGATTCATTTTGTTCATAATTATGTTCTGCAAAACATGTATTGCCATAAACTATGCATTCCATGCATATTTCATTGCAAGAGATTGCAACAGCTGGTAAAAATGCTAGCCAAGAGAGAAGATAGAAATTGATAAATAGATCATAACTAAGGGTGGCATTTCATATTTAAATGGATGTGAATGTTAATAAATGTTTCAGTAACTGGTAAGCTATATTTGTACAGATCCTATTCTGATTGCTGAGCAAATTGCAGTGCTGCGTTTCATATTTTAATATTATTTAGTGGGATTGGTAAGTTAGTTTTAATGTAGGTTAAAGGGACAAGCTTAATTGCCACTAGTTTTCATTATGCTGTACACGATTGCATTGGAATTAAAATGTAGGCCGCGTACCCATGAAGCAATTAAGCTATTAGTCAAAGCATACTGTCTTCAAATTGCATGTAACGTATACACGCTATCACAATGTAAAGTGTTGGCGCTTAGCGCACCAGTGAAAAAAATACACGGGGGCTCGGGGCGATTTAGCCCCCGAAATGGCAAAAAGAGCCCCGGAAATGGCAAAAAGAGCCCCCGGAAATTTGCATAGAGTTCAATGCAAACCAAATTTTAGAGTGCTATTTTCATGCACGCGAACTTGAAAAGTAGCCCCCGAAAAATAAATGTTAATTTTTTCCTTGGCACCTGCCATCTTCGCATAATGTCATGTATCGGCGAATTTGTATTCATTTTACGTGGTAGATATTTTCCACTCTTGACTATCGTGAACATCGATTTTATGATTTATAGCACAGAAAAACACACGTCTAGCAAAAATGCACGTAAGCAAACTGCATTATGGGTTGTGATGTATACATTGTATAGGATAAATGCCCGCGGTGCGTATGTGCTACAAATGTGTCTATACTGATATATATATATATTACTATAAATGTGAAGTTGAAATCCAAGGTCATGTGGTTTTTGAAAAGAATCATTGGTAGGGTGGTGATTTGCGCATAACTTGGTTAAATGTTGTTCGTTTGCATTCGTTTCAAATTTTTCATTACACTAGCCACAAGTAGCTTGTATTTGGTACAAGCTATACAGTGTTCGCATCAGTTACAGTTTTCACCAGTGTAATTTCTGTTGATCTGTTTCTTCGTAGGAGGATAGCACGCGAGTTATTGTAACACATATATTTATGTGTGTCAGCTATATATTGGTATCTGCTGTCACTGTGTATATACGGGTAATGTTGAGGAATGACATAAAGCACTTTAGGACAAGGCCCTATAGGGGTAGCAGATCAAACGTTGATGGCTTTATGGTGACAATAATTGTACACACTTGTCACCCGTAAAAGCGTGTACATCATTTACCCGCATAGTGCTTCTTTGTGTGGCTATAGCTATATATAGCAGTAGGGTGCATGTGTGCCTCTTGTAACTCACCACAGAGCACCAGATTCGTGAAGCCATTCCTACAAACTGCATGCACACAGCATCCTGTGATAAAACTAGGAATGAATCTCTCTCTCTTCGTGTCGCTTCCTGCCAGCAGTCAGTTAAAAACTCGCGTGAAATCCTCAAGAACTGCCCGTAAGAATCTGTCAGCAGTAGCAGTAGTATTAGCACCAGCAACAGCAGTAGCAGCAGCATCATCATCAGCAGCAGCAGCAGTAGCAGCAGCAGTAGCAGTAGTAGCAGAATCAGAATAAGCAGCAGCAGCAGCAGCAGTAGCAGCAGCAGCACCACCACCGCCACCAGCAGTAGCAGCAGCAGCAGCAACAGCAGGCCCAGCAGCACCATTGCCACCACCAGTAGCATCAGCAGCAGCACCATCACCACCACCAGTAGCAGTAGCAGCAGCAGCAGCAGCAGCAGTAGCAGCAGCAGCAGCAGTAATAGCAGCACCATCACCACCACCACCAGTAGCAGTAGCAGTAGCAGCAACAGCAGCAGTAGCAGCAGCAGCAGTAGTAGCAGCACCACCACCAGTAGCAGTAGCAGCAGCATTAGTAGCAGCACCATCACCACCACCAGTAGCAGTAGCAGTAGCAGCAACAGCAGCAGCAGTAGCAGCAGCCGTGAGAAACGGTGCAGTCGACTCGCAAATGTCGCAACGAAAAACTGTTTCTAACACGTGACCGTCTGTGATCCAGAGCGGGAGCATGCTTCCAACCCTCTATATAGCTTCCTTCCGGTTCTCTTCCTTCCTCCCGGCTCTAGTCACAGTCCACTCGCCTACAGTAGTAATCAACGTGACCGTCTTGCCATAGCGAGGGGAAGAGAATCTACTAGAGAGCTAAGGATTTTAGATAATTATATAGATAATAAATAGAAATTAGTAGATGCATAGCGGAATAATAGTGAATCTAGATCGTCTACACTCTACAGCCTCGGAGTGGGGAACTCTGTTGCTCGGAGCGCTCTGGTGTGATGTGATATGCGGGACGTAATTAGTAGGGCATCGTTGGCGTTCAGCATCCGCGTGTGTAATGGCAGAGTAATTAGCGATAACAATAGATGAGGAGGATGCGCCCGCATTGAGGATGCGTCATTCGTTATCAGCTCTGTACACGTATGCGCGGTAGATCTGCCTCTCTCTGGCCATAATAAATATATTCGCCTCCGCCCTCCCGCCTCCCCCCGCCGCGACTCCCCACCTTCCTCCGCCACTCTCCGCCTCCCTCACGCCTCTCCCCGCATCCCTCCGCCTCCCACACGCGCCACCGGGAGGCTGAGAGTAGCCGCGTGTGTCTGCGATGTAGCGGCTGCATGCAGGCTCCCGCAGTCTGTCGGCGCGTGAGCGCTGCAGCGGGCCGCCAGCACGTGCGATGCTAGCGTGTAGGCGATGGTTGCACGACAAGACGGCGACGACGACGGCGGCGGGAGAACTCGTCGCTATGGTTGTGATCGAGTTTGATCAGTGTGCAGAGATGGAAGCACCAACAAGATGCGCACCGCTGGTGGTAGGACGCCGTACGTATGCCAACATGGGTGTATGGTTGGGATGATGATGTGGTGATGATGATGATGATGATGATGATGATGATGATGATGATGATGATGATGATGATGATGGTGGTGGTGAGGAGGATGGTTATGATGATGATGATGATGATGCTGATGATGGCAATGGCGATGGTGGTGGTGGTGGTGATGGTGGTGGTGATGATGATGACGATGGTGATGGTGATGATTATCATGATCATGATGATGGCTATGATGGCGGTGGCAGCGGCAGCATGGGTTTTTGCTGCTGCTGCTACTGCTGGCACGGGTATTGTTGTTGCTGCTGCTTCTGTTGCTGTTGCTGCTGCGGTTGTTGGTGTTACTAATGCTACTGCTGTTACAGCTGTTTGTGTTGCTATTTGTGTTGATGATGGTGTTGATACAGAGGCTGGAGTTAATCATCCGTTTGATTAGAAACACCTTTCGTGATCAGATGGGCGGCTGAGGCTGTCACCAGATGTGCTTCAACCTTATTATTCCTCAGAAAACAAAACAAAAATGATACCGAGAAATGAGTATCTGCTAGACATAGCGACGAAGGTACGATGACGAAGGTATAGCGTGAGATTTTGCGCGCGTCTGCAAGGCGTTGTTATCGTCTGTTAGTCGTGCGCACGCACGTCGTACGTAGTTACAGACGCGCCGCTTTCGCAGACGTTTATAATACATTAGTCTAGTTTGCCAACAACTATCGCGAGCTGTTACGTCTCGGTTATATCAGTGCGTGTGCTGTATATGGTATCAAGCTCTTGAAGTACGTATAGACATACTTAATACACTCTTGACGGTATATGTGGTGGCGGGGCGATGGAAGGGTGAAGGGGGTTAGGCGACGTAAGAGTTCACGTTTTGACAAAACAAATGTGATTTAGGAGGTGAAAAAGATCGATTTTAACGCCCGACTGAAAGTCGTTTTGTTGACAGCATAGAGGACGCATGTAAGGAGACTAATTGGCTGGCCTACTTCATATATTATTTTCATGGTTGACAGAACGGTCTCTATCGACAGAAGGTCACACGGTGGTGAGTGACTAGAGCACGCGGCTGCGACTCGTGTACATGTTGTCATCGTGATGAATAGTGTAGTTAGTGAGTGGGTGTGTGTCATAGTGGGTGTGTCCGCTCGGCGCACTGCTAGCTGACACAGCACGCAACTCCCAGCACGTACGTGTGTGCGTGCGTGCGTGCGTGCGTATACGTACGTGTGTGTATATATAACCTTTCAAATATTGACGGTGTTTGGTGAGTGAAACCAGCAGGCGACCTAGCGACCCCACCAACCTCGTGGATGTAGTTACTATAGCGTGTCCTCATCGCACCCGATGACACGAATCTCCGTCGCTTTGTCTACACCTAGATCGGACCGATGTCTCGTAAGTCCACTAACTTTACTCGATTTGCGATCATTACATGGAAATGATGAAGTCTTGGATGAAAGGGTCTTCTATCCGCGTACGGACGTGTTGAAAGGCTTGTTGGTCGGAGGGCTATAGTATATGCGGAGAGTTATGTAGTAACGTTGTTTGTCGCGAGGGCTATAGTATATGCGGAGAGTTATGCTAGTAACGTGTGTTAGTCGAGAGGCTATAGTATATGCGGACTAGTTATGTTAGTACACGCTGTAGGTCGGGAGGCTATAGCTAATACTGCCGGATAGTTATGTAGTAACGTTGTAGCGTCGGAAGGGCTATAGTATAGCGGAGAGTTATGTAGTAACGTTGTATGTCGCGAGGGGCTATAGTATTATGCGGAGAGTATGTAGTAACGTGTATAGTGTCGGCAGCGGCTATAGATATGCGGAGAGTTATGTAGCTACACGTTGTAGCTCGGAGGGCTATAGTATATGCGCGCAGAGTTTAGTGTAGTAAACGTTGTTTGTCGGAGGGGCTATAATATATGCGGAGTAGCTTATGTAGTGAACGTTGTTTGTCGCCGAGGGCCTATAGATATATTGCGGAGAGTTATGTAGTAAGCGTTGTGGTCGGAGGCTATAGTATCATGCGCGAAGTTAGTAGTTAGTAAGCGTTGTTAGCGTCGGAGGGCTAATAATAATCTATGCGGGGAGTTATGTAGTAACTTTGTTTGTCGCGAGGGCTATAGTATATGCGGAGAGTTATGTAGTAACGTTGTAGGTCGGAGGGCTATAGTATATGCGGAGAGTTATGTAGTAACGTTGTTTGTCGCGAAGGCTATAATATATGCGGAGAGTTATGTAGTAACGTTGTACGTCGGAGGGCTATAGTATATATGCGGAGAGTTATATGTAGTAACGTTGTAGGTCGGAGGGCTATAGTATATGCGGAGAGTTATGTAGTAACGCTGTTTGTCGGAGGGCTATAGTATATGCGGAGAGTTATGTAGTAACGTTGTTTGTCGCGAGGGCTATATATAGTATATGCGGAGAGTTATGTAGTAACGTTGTTTGTCGCGAGGGCTATAGTATATGCGGAGAGTTATGTAGTAACGTTGTAGGTCGGAGGGCTATAGTATATGCGGAGAGTTATGTAGTAACGTTGTTGGTCGCGAGGGCTATAGTATATGCGGAGAGTTATGTAGTAACGTTGTTGGTCGCGAGGACTATAGTATATGCGGAGAGTTATGTAGTACCGTTGTTGGTCGCGAGGACTATAGTATATGCGGAGAGTTATGTAGTAACGTTGTTGGTCGCGAGGGCGATGCGTGTGTGTGTGTGACTAGCAGGTGATAGATTCTCGTTTAGATATGATCGACTGTACGTTGCTACACAGTAGCTGTGCATCGCTAGAAGAGGCCAGTCTGGCTATTCAATACTCGGTGTGTATGTGAAAGCGCGCAAGTCTGCTTTTAGCTAATAATACATATATTAGACATGTATTATTATTATACATGTATTATTATTATACATGTATTATTACATGTGTTATTAGCTCTTGACTGTAGTATACTCGTGTAATGTTGGTACGCACGCACGCGTGCACATATCACATGTTCTTCAACAGTACGACTCACTCTGTCTGTACAAGCCTACCAACCCAGCACTGAGAGATAGACGAGCACACTACAGCTCGCCCCTATACACAGATCGATAGCCACGTCCTATCTACATCTTCTGTGCCACGTTCACCCAGTAACGCGCGCACTGGCAACCACGCGCGCACTGGCAACCTGTTTTCACTGTCACACACATCTCTGTCAATTCTATCGTTCTCTCGCTTTCTCTCTATCTCTGTCTCTCTCTCTCTCTCTCTCTCTCTCTC